AAGGAACTTACCTACATACCTACCTACCCACCCAACTTCGAAATCAAGTTGAAAGCATTCAATTCAAGGAAGCTGGTGATAGATAACCACAGTTCAAGTTGAACACCCACAACACAAACTCAACTCAACTCAACCGAACTGAAGGACGAAACTTCAAAGGACATCTCCATGTCAGTCAACCATCAGGACAAAATGAGAGATATTGAGCAACATCTGAGGAACACTGGAACTGTTTGAAAGCTATGTGGAAGGAAACCTGCATAACCGTGTTAGAAAGGATGAAGAAACCAGACAAGACAAGACCAGAGAAGACAAGGAGTGGGATGGAACTCGACAGACACATGGAAGCTGATGGAGGAGGGAGAGGAATATGGTGATGGTGAAGCAGAAGATGAACCAATGCAGTGCAGTGCAGTGCAGTGATGAGTAACGAAAAGAGGAAGTGAACACAACCTATAAAACACTACACTGGACAAAGAAATGAAGAAGAGTGGACGGAAAGACAAAAGACACTTCTACGACACATTGACAAGTTAGGCAGAACAGGCTGTGAGTAGGAGAGACAGAGACAGAGACCTGACAACAGTATATCAAATAATCAGGTTACTATCTGAGAGAGGAGAGATCAACGGATGTGAAACCAGTGAAAGATAGTGGAGGAAACCTAGTTACCAAAGGAAGAGGAGAGACAAAGGAAACGATGGACTGATCACTTCAAAAAGACTCTTGAGTCGACCACCACCACCACTGACGCCTGCAACTCGTCGAGAAACACCACCACCAGCAGCACAGCCACAGAATTACCAGTGAACACAAGCCCTCCGACAAAAGCAGAAGTGAAGTCCTGAATGCCAGAAAGTTGCTGAAATCCACTAAAGCAGCAGGACCAGATCGAATTCCTCCAGAAGCACTGAAAACAGACGCAGAGACATCAGAAGCCGACATGCTGACACCACGATTGCAGAAGGCTTCGAAGGAGGGAAGGGAAGGTACCTGTTGATTGAGTGGAAGAAGGGCTAACTTGTCATACTTACAAAGAAGGGTGACCTAAGTCTTTGCAAGAAATAACGCGGAATCATGCTGCAAGCAAAATATTGAGCCGCATCATCCTGGAGAGATTAAAAGATGCGTTGGTTTCAACATTACGACCAGAACAGCCTGACTTGCTTCAGCAAGTACAAATCATGTGAGGACCAAATTGCAACGCTACGCTACACATCATCATAGAACAGAGTATAGAATGGCAGTCGACTGGATATTTACCTCAACTTCATCGATTTGGAAACGCCTTCGATAGCGTCGACTGAGGAGTAATTTGGTAGGCAGCTGCTTCAACATAACGGTTCCAGTGCCACAAACATTTATCAACCTCATTCAACAGCTGCATGCTATGTGATGAGGTACATGCCAAGTGATTCACAATGGGAAGCTCAATGATGCCTTTGAAGTGAAGACAGGAAAGAAGGAGTAAGACAAGACTGCCGCCTACTATCATCTTGCTGATTGTGTTCGACTGGGGTGGGCTGGAGTGGACTGGACTGCACTGGGTCATGCAAGAAACTGTGGAGAGCTGTGAGAAGAGGGTCATGTACTGACTGGACCGATGTAAAGACCCCAGAAGAAGATTTGGATTTCACCACCGCCAATGATGATTTAAGTCCAATGTGTTGTCGCACAAACTCGAAGATGTACAGGCAAAGACCAAAAGTTGACAGAAGAGGCCAGGCAACGAAGACAGTATATCCTTCAGGTGGTCGTATAGAAGACACAGGTGAAGAAGATACCTGACCAACCAACAACAACAGCAAGCACCAATCACCATGAACGGAAGAAACCTAAAGGAAGTTGTCTCTTTCACCTACCTACCTAGGCAGGTAGCATCGTTTCAACCACAGGTGGCGATGGTGGTGGTGGCACAGATGAGGACGTGAAAACCATCCAGGATCGGAAAGAAACCAGGACAGGCCTTCCTGCATTAACCTGAAATCAGTGTGGGGACCTACTACGCTGCACTGCACTCGACTCAGCATAAAGCGTGAACAACATCCGGATTTTCAACGCTAATGCCAATCAAATAAGTCAGTGCTTCTATTGATGGTTGAGAGACTTGGCGCGTCACGAAAGCATTTCCAACAAACTACAGACATACGTCATCAACAGCTGCCGCCTACACCCACTCCATACTGAAGATCAGATGGATGGTTAGAAAGAATAGGCATCAAATAATTCTGTCTGGCTCGCTGGATGACTGGCTGGCAACGAACCGACGAAGCAAGAACCCATCGTCCAACAAATGTACAGAAGAAAGTGGAGATGGATTCGATGGGATTGGATTGTGCATACATTGAGAAGACTGATTGGGGACGTCGCGCGCCAGACCAGGCCAGGTCGGGTCGTCGAGTGGAAGCCAAAGGGGAACGACGAGTTGGGCGTCTGAGGCGAGGGTGACATGGAGAAGATGGTGTGAGGAAGAAATGAAAGCTTGTGGGCAGTCGTGGAGCCAGGTTGAAAAGACTGGAGAGAAGAAGGTGCAATGGTGACGTGCAACTGAAGCCTTATGTTCCAATAGGAACTCAAGGGACAAATAATAATAATAATAATAAGGGGATTTTCTGCAAGGGGCGTTTAACTGCTGATGCAAAACCCAGTTAACTAAGCAGTAGCTCAAGGCGCCAGATAAAACAAGAACGTTTGAACTGGTTACTTAAACCTAGTTCAGTAGTTTCACACGCAACCAAAAAATGATGTCATATTTGTGAAGCAACCAAATATTTCCATTAACCAAGTTTCGACAACTATTATAGGTGGATCTCTAGGATCTTTCAGAGTACGCACCTTTTTATGAGATTATATATAAATATCCTAAGAAATTTCATGACTTCTAAAGCCTATGTTGCTGGCTTAAGGAAGTACAAATCATGTGAGGACCAAATTGTAACGCTACGCTACACATCATCATAGAACGAAGCATAGAGTGGCAGTCAACTGGATCTTTACCTTAACTTCATCGATTTTGAAAAGGCCTTCGATAAGCCAGACCAGGTCCTCAAGTGGAACCCACATAGGAAACGACGAGTTGGGCGTCTGAGGCGAGGGTGACATGGAGGGGATGGTGTGAGGAAGAAATGAAAGCTTGTGGGAAGTCGTGGAGCCAGGTTGAAAAGACTGGAGAGAAGAGAGTGAAATAGCGACATGCTATTGAAGCCTTATGTTCCAGTAGGAACTCTAGGGACAAATAATATGAAAAATAGAAAAGCTTATGCTAATTGTTATTATTGAGTTACTTGTCTTTTTGAGTACTTCAATTTGAGACTGATAAAAATATTAGGGCACAATGCCATTTGTCTCCATAACAAATAATGAGGAATGAAGTATATTTGTTTTCAGATTGATAACGAGTTTACAAGTCATTTGAAAGAAGAAAGGAATTTCAATAAGCATAAATGAATGGTTTAGAATGTTTGCCAATCCTTCTAGTTACATTCGACTACTTATTAACTTTCGTGAGGATACAGTTAGGAAAGTGAGGAGTTTCCCATAATGGAATTACGAATTTGATTCTGTCGGGTTTCAGCTAAAATACTATTTGTGGACTCGGAGGAAATAAGCTGGATCACTGGAAGCTTTCCAGTACTTGTAACCTTCTGAATTTGAAAAAAACTTTAAGTAAATATATTCTGGAAGGTTTAATTTTGGATGCTGTTCATTGGAAACTCTACACAGTTTTCCTAAGCATTAGCAGCTGAACTTCACTATAAGAAGTGTGAGTGTAGTACGCAGATGGTTCGACTTTTACATTTTGATGCGTATGTTTAGCCTGTTTCATTTGCCTGTTGGTGACACAACCTTAGAACTATTTCACGCCGACATTCAATATCAGCATACAATCTAGGATCACTGCATGTCGGTCAATGATACTACACCTCATATCAGAGAATCAAGGTAGAAGGATAGACAAATGCCGATGAAAGTAGTCAAATGTAGTAGAATGTTGTAAGAAAAGAGGAAGAGAAGTAATATACAAGCCCGATCACCATGTCAAGATGGCAACTATCGGTCGAGATGAGGAATTATTTATGCTCATAGTATGGCATAAAAGTGAAATAGAAAAATGTTAGTGAGCAGTGTCATCAATCGATTCCAAACAGTTTGGTAGTAATGAAATCAATTTTTTGATGAGTACTTACTAATACATACACTTGACTACTACAGAGTAGTTTTTATAGTAGGCAAACAATGCAGAAATGTAAAAGTTGGTAGATTGTGATATATAATTCGAGATAAAGTCTGAATTTGAAGTTCTAGATGTGTGAGCATTTTTAGACAGCCTCATAATTACTGCTGTGTGTCACTTCGCGCTTAGTTTAATTAGATATTGATGTGCACATTGATTGGTTATCGGAGAGCAACCAATTTAATCTTGTCTAGTCATGACCGCTGGCCGAATTCTATCGATCACTTTGCATTGTGGCTAACAACCTAGGAGGCTCACCATTGTGGTGCACTTTGATGAATGTTATTTGGTTGGAGGCAGTCAGTAGAAATCCCTGGACCTAAGTTTCATGCTTGTTGGCACTCGCCAGCAAGGAGTATCTAAAACCCCTATGGGACTGATGTCCCGCCTGGAAATGGAATCCGCATCGCCCAGTACTGTAGTCAGCAACGTAACTACCAAGCTATTTGGGCCGTGACTGACCTCCTATACGACTGAGTTAGATACATTGACTGGTCACTAGAGAGCAACCAATTTCATGTGTCTAGTCCTATCGGTTGATCAAATTCTACCAATCACTTCTCAATGTGGCCACCAAGCTACGAGGCTCATCATTGTGGTTGACGTTGATGGATGTTGGGTGGTTGTCCTTAGATTCATTATTGTATGCCGTCTTCGGAAAATGGAATCTTTCTTGCTTAAAAATATATGTAAATTTATGGTTACATATATACATACTCGAAAACAATATGTAAAGTTCATTAAGTAGACAAAACAATGAAGATACCTTTGCTTCCATACACCCAAACATGCATGGGATAGAAGGTCCACACAAATCAAGATCAAGTAGTCCCACACGATAGGTGTCATTGCAGTCGCCTTCATTTGCTTTCTGATTTCGTTCACGTCGGCTAAGTCCTCGAGCGAGACAGACAGAAAGACTACTTTTCCCAACTCCACCTTTACCGGATAGGATAATTATTTTGTGACGAACTGAACCAAGGCGGCGTTTAATTAATAGGATTGTTTGCGGTTCACGTTCAGAAAGAGGGAGTTTAGCTTGCCCACTTGAACACAAAGACTGATTGGGACAACCTTCACATGCAGAAACTTTTCCTGCTTCATCGCTACTTGTACCAGGGCATGAAGATGGGGCACCGGACGGAACGTCTGACATGCTAAAAAGTAAGAAAGCAGTTTTTACCACAGGCATTGGTCAGAAAGTCTTGCAACAAAGAAACCTTTAATGTTCAGTAGGGAGAGTTTTCGTAATGATGCCAGACACTGAAACGTCGAACGTTTACGCAGTGGATAGTTAGATTTTACAAAAGATAATGTAGAATTTAATGAATCTTGTGAAATGTATTCTTTTAGTTCAAATATTGCCGAATTCAGGAAAACTTTCCATCTTTAAGATTACTAAGAGCACAGAGGAAAAAACTAAATGTACTTACTTCGTAGGTATATGCAGTAGGCAATGAAACACACCTATTATACGAGGGTTGGATATATTATCTGGCTGTCTAGACCTCGGTACATGAAAAACGGTTCGAACTGGTGACCCACAGATTGAAAGTCAAGTGTCTGGATAGGAAGAAGTCAAAAATTGAGTATAAAAACACAACAGTTGAGTAACACAATGTTTCTTTGTAAATTAAAACGAGCTTATACATTCTTTCGAATGAGGAGCTCCATGAAAAGTTCGACAATGTTGCTATGGTGCCAAAACTGATGCCGATTCTAGCAAATTTTATCTCCGTGAAATAAAAGAATTCTTACATAGAAGACGTAAACAGGAGTTTGGGATCTTTTTGCCATTGTATAGATGACATATTCATCATTGTGAAAAGTGAGAATGGTGGGATGAACATACTAGGAAAGCTAAAAGCAACTATATCACACTTTTAAATGTCAAAACAACAGGAAAAACATGAGACAGTAATAAGGAATGCATACCGTTTGTACACTTTCTAAATGAATGGATCCGTAGGAACTGGAATAGACAGTGCAAATGGTCTTTGTGGCCACCGACCGGATTCCTGATGATATGACGTATAAGCCTCACCAAATACCTTCTATAAACCGCCATATAAGGCAAAATCTCTAGATTTAGTAATAATAGTGGGCAAACTGATGTTCATTTAGGGGAAGAGACAATAAGAAAGGCAGATTGGACGTATCTACAGTATCCTAAATCGACGAGCAACCAACGGTTGTCATCTCTTACGATTATGTTCTGACAGTTACTTGTTTCCGCCTGGCACTAACTTTGAACGTAAGGAGAAACACTGTCACATCTGGCATCCACCAACATCAAGAAAAAGCTGGACATATATAATATAACACAGCTATTGGCGACTGGATAGGATCAGAGGAAGACTGCTGTTCTTTGTATAGTACCTGTTTGAACTCTAGTCATGCCCTAGTACGGGCACTTATCTGTTTGTGCCTTTACGGAAACAAGAAAATGTCAGCAATAAAGCCTCCTTGTATCAAGCCTGAAGATGAGGGGTGGGGGAAGATAAACATTTATCTGAAAATAGCAGCAATAGTCACCATGATGACGCTTAGCATAATCTTCATTTGGGAGTAGAAACAACGAAAAATACATTAATGCAAGAATAGACTTTAGGGAATGTGGTAGAGCATAATTTCATATTTAATAAGCTTATTCGATATAATACAGTGAAATAGTACTAAGCACCAGATGACGTTTTGTGCGAAATTTCCACACAATCATATCAGGGTTATCACATAGCTCCTAACAACTGTTTTTATGGTCCTCTCATTTGCTGTTTTTTGGTTTCATATATTCGAAACGGGTGGTTCGTCACTTTTATCGCATATGTTTAGTCTCGGCTTGATGAACGAAGATTTAGCAATTAATTTCTCTCCACCTAACCCCATCCGATCATATTGTGCCTCACTGCATGCATTGCAATAGCCCAGTTTTTTCTGTTGATAACTTCATGTGGAGATGAGCAAAAGTCAATGGATTTCCTCAGCCTCAATAGATCTGATTGGTGTAAAACGACTCATTTCAGCTGGTATTGATCATGGTGAGTAGAAAAATCAACTTAAAAGTTAGTTGACTCAGAGTTTTCGTAACGACTGCAAGTAGTAAAGAGTGATGACAGAGATAGGAAAAGCATCGCCACTGAGTAATACCCGGTAACCACCTAGGTTTATCAGGATACGGACACGAAAAGAGACAGTGGTCAGTGAGACGGTCACTGAAAAAGCCGAGTCACTAATGATATATAAGGACAGGCAACTGAAACACTGCGGAACATGTTGAATCACGATCCAACTGGTCTACAGTCGAGCTTCACTTGCCCAGCATGTAACCGCAACCCGAATGGGAATAAAATGTGGGTCTTCAAACTAACACTGAAGCTAGGAATGTTGCTTTAAACTTACAACGACGAAAAGAACAGTACCTGAAAGTTTACGATCATGGAATTTTAACACTGGAAAGAGAAAATTACTGAGTAGATTAAATGAGGTACCAATCAGTTCATGCGTATCAGAAGAATCGCAGTTAATTGATTTACACTGTTGATCAATAGAAGTTGTAAGGAAACAGAAAACTCTTTCTGTGACAATCACTGGGGAATAAGTTAAACAAACAACGTACCTAAGATCCATTGTTATCAAATAACTAATTGGTACTCGAAAACAACAAACCTGAAAGAAATAGACAAGTTGAAAAGCTGGATGCAGGTGCAACGATCAGATTTTTACGACTACGAACACTATAAAGAGTATGTATCTACTGAGGTCGATTTTGAGCTGTCACAAGGAGTCTTCAACCATGTATTCTAATTGTCTTGAGGACACTAGCTTGGGAACATATATGGCTAAGACCAACGGACAGAAACCTAATTGACTGACGCTATGTCTTGGTCTGCTCACCTTTAGGATTTATACAACCTAATCCTACTTCGGTTAACACCGCATGTCATGAGGAGTGATGTTTCTGGAAGCGCAACATATATCCAGGCCACCTCAGTCGACGAACGTTCACAACCTTATAAACTGACATTTCTCAGCTAATACTCTAGACCTATTGTAGAAATCATTCTAATGGTAATCCCAACGCTAACGAGTAATGCTACACAGACACCCGTGGTTAAAAATCTGTAACGGTTTCATATATGCTACTTTAAAGAGTCGTGTCTTACAGCTATACGGTGGAATAGAGCGGAATGCTGTAAAGCATACTTGCTGCTACGAAGATGGAGTGTCTACTAATCATCTTTTTCTGTCGTATCCATGTACTGTAGGTTGATAATATAGTTTCTTACATAGAAGATAAAGTGTCACCATATTAACTATGTGTTCATTAAGAAAGATTCAGCCCAGCGTGGGTGACAAGTCACATAATAACAGTATGAAATCATGAAGATGGAGGAAGAGAAAACAGCACAATTCTCAGGAATGTAGAACTAAAGCTCTAAGTGGTTTGGTGAGGAGTGATTGACTACCGACAGACTAAAATTATCCTAAACTGGCCATTTATTATCTAATGGTTAGACTACACTTTAGATTTCCTACATGCGACATCTTATTTCATCAGAAGAATATATACTTATTCAGGTGCGTTCCGAACAAATGACTATTTGATCATAGATAGTTAAGAGTACCAATGTCGTAAGTAGTTGTTGATTCACTTCCACATTCTGGAGTTCATTTAATTCGACATCAACCACAGTAACTTCGCATGCGAAAAATGAGATTTTTTCAAGAAGTTCTCATGCTGCGTTGTTAATGAATTGAGTAAAGATTAGGGAATTTACATGCTCATTTCTAGTTTAGATTTGAGTCATATACGATAACACCCTTGGCAAAAGTCTCACCTACATCCTTGAGTAAGCCCGTGGTGAGTTGTCTACGAATTAGGCCTTATATAATTTTAGGATATGTATAGGAAGCTTGACAAGAACAGTGACATCTATGATGTATACTAGTGGTTTTCGCTACCTCAGGTTACAACTGTTAAAGTTATTAGTCCCATTTTATCTTACAGATCAGGTTAAGCTTGTGAAATACATCATCTCTAACTCTTCGTGATGGGTTACTCCCTGTTGCGTGTACGTTAAGGTGAGCTTGATATGGAAGTTCTCTCTGTCGTGGAAAGTAGTTGTAGTAACAAAGTTATTGTGATCATTCTATTAGTTGTTAGATACAAACTCTTGACTCACTCTACTGTTTTTACTTATAGCACATCGGAGTATTTTTCAGCATGCTATCAAGTCACTCAGTATCGTCATTAAAGATAGAAAACACGCACATAGTTTAGCATAATATGTTTAACTTTTACTACTTGTAATTCTGTACATAAACATAACAATACTAGAATATTAGACAGATCTTAGTCACATTCAATGCACTAGCGACAAAACATTTACAGCAATGTTGATTATTTGGTCTACAATGATCATATCTCACACTTAAATGGCAAAACCTGGAAAACAAACACATTGAGTAGGCGGGAGTGCAGGTGGATTTCGATTGTGGAAATAAAGTCAATGAGGAAGCGGATCGGAAAGGATAATATCACAAAAGATAAAGATGCATGATAGCAGAGTGGATGAACAAATGAGAGTCAATGAAACACCCAGAATTTTAAAGATTTTGAAAGGTATTTGCTTTACGCTAGTGAGTTAAACGTTTGAGCCGCATTGTCAGCCTCCAACTATTGGTTTCAACATATTGAGGACGTCAGTAATTCAGCCTTTACAGTCAAAATCAACATTCTGAGACCAAACGCCTAGCTTCAAAATTGCTCACTTTACGGTTTTGCCACGTGCGAAAAATGTTGTGGAGTTACCAATGATCTAAACCTTTATAGCCAGAGCTACTTATAAGAATGAATATAAGTAGCACAAATAGCAACGCCAAAAATGGTTGGTGGAGAATTGGTATAAATGGTATAAATATTGGATTTGATTACAAAGCCCAAGAACTGCGTAGACAAACATAGACAAAACTAACGTACAAACTTGCACAAAACTGCATTGGCTCAAGTTGCCACACTTCGCAGTAGCATACAAAGAACGGATGAATAGTAAAAGTGATATCAAAGTCGGCAAAGTTGAATGTGAGAAGAAACAAGTTGAAAATAAAAATCAATGAAAATTTGCAGGCCTGAGTTGCAGAATCTGTCAGAGGGCGGAAATCTGGTCAATGCACCCTCATCCGGCTATGTCTGAAACCTCCCTGGTTTTCCCGTATTCGCTGTTCTCGAGCTCCAGTAAGCGCCGGATAACTATGGACACTGGGGTCTTGGACACGATAATAGTCAAACTAATTCCTTTCTGCTTGTCACAAGATTTCCAACCCCTTCTTATAGACTGGGATGATCAGAGAAGTAGACCAGTCTGATGACACTACAACTAACTCCCATACACCACCTAGTTCCTCCGTCACTTGTATCTGCAATTTCCTACCTTCTTCCTTGAAAACTTCAGGTGGCACACCTTCAGGTCCTGCTGCTTTGCATCTTATCAGGTTAGAGACAGCTTTCCCAACTTCGAGGAGAGTTGGCGGAACGACATCTACGTCACATCCAGATTCAGTAT